AACGGAAATGGGTTATTACCATAGTAACGGAAACCCGGTTAATATATCAAATGGAATGAGTACAGTGCCAATTCTCGCATTAGATGACCTATGGGATTCTATGGGCAGCACCATCGTAGGTAATAGTTGCAAAATAGCGGCTTGTAAGGCAAAATTTGGCGGTGTTAGGTGTGTGTGTGACTAGCCCTGTGCACGTCCCCCTGTGCATGTCCCCCTGTCCTCGTCCCCCTGTGCACGTCTCCCCTGTGCACGTCCCTCTGTGCCCGTACCTTTGTTGTGTAAGAGTTGGTTGTTCAGTGGAGAAGCCACAGTAAAATATTTGTGTCACATATCTTGACCAAACTGTGTCAAATTCTGCCTGTTGCGTTTTGAAACTTTGAAAGTCGGGTACATTTTTTTCTTCTGCTCTTGGATGTTTCATAATGGTTCAAAGTCATATATGTGCGACCTGCATTGTTCAGGATGATTGTATCATTGCTATCATTGTGTTCGCATGTAATCCCATTATTGTTCTGTATGACCTTCGTATTTTAAGGCAAAATACTATTTGAAATCAAGTTTTCATTATCTGTGATATATATTTTTTCATTGTCAAACATTACGAGTGTTGGAGAAGTCCGTTCGCGAGTCGTATACAAGTCGAATGTTGTCATCGGGAGAAATAAAAGTAGAAAAATATGCTATAGATCATGGTTAGAGTTATTAGACTCGAGGGCCATTGGTTCATCAATGCATCAAGTATTAAGCAAGAGTTGTATTAGGGTGGGCAGACTGCATTGTCTTGGACTGTCAGAAAGCTTTTGACACAGTACGCTATAAGAGACTACTACATAATTTGGAGAAACAAGCTGGAGTTAGTGGTAAGGTGTTCCAATAGATGAAGGAGTACCTAAACAACAGGAAGCAGAGACTTACTGTGGTAAGGTGATCCAATAGATAAAGGAGTACCTAAACAACAGGAAGCAGAGACTTACTGTTGAGACTTTCTGAGGCGAGACCTCAGAATGGCGTGGTCACCAGCGCAGTCCCACAGGTTTCTGTACTTGGACCTATTTTGATTCCGATAAACGTGAATGATCTTCCAGGAGGATTAGACTCATTCCTCTCAATGTTTGCTGATGATGTTAAAAATTATGAGAAGGATTAGGACAGAGGAGGACAGCAAAAGGCTACAGGATGACCTAAACAGACTGAAGGAATGGTTCAACAAATGGCTACTAGAGTTTAACTCGAGCAAGCAAAGTGATGGGTGTAGGGAGCAGGTCCCCAAACACAAGGTTCCAGATGGGAGAGGATTTTCTTCAGGAGTCAGAGAAATATCTAGGAGTTGGTATCACACCAGACCTGTCCGCTAAATCCCACATCAGAAGGATAACATTTGCGGTGTATGCAAGGCTGGCAAACTCAAGAGCTGCCTTTAGAAACTTGTGTAAGGATCATTGAGAACCTTGCACACCACATATGTCAGACCAATACTGGAATATGCGGCTCCAGCGTGGAGTACCCATCTAGTCAAATACAATACGAAGTTAGAGAAGATTTGGAGGTATGCCACTAGGCATACCTCCAAACTGAGGGGCGATGATTTACGAATAAAAGATTACTGGAATTACACCTCACGACACTGGAAGACAAGAGTTAGGGGAGACATGATCACTACCTATAAAATTCTCAGAGGGATTGACAGAGATAAACTGTTTAACACGGGTGAAACGCGAACAAGGGGGATACAGGTGGACACTGAGTACCCAAATGAGCCACAGAGACGTTAGCAAAAACTTTTTCAGTGTCAGAGTAGTTAACATATGAAATGCATTAGGCAGTGATGTGCTGGAGGCTGACTCTATACACAGTTTCAAATGTAGATATGATAGAGGACAGTAGGCTCAGGAATCTGTACACCAGTTGATTGACAGTTGAGAGGCGGGACCAAAGAGTCAGAGCTCAACCTCCATGAGTACAACTAGGTGAGTACACACACCCACACACACCCACACACACACACACACACACACACACACACACACACACACACACACAAACCTCACTTCGCTGGAAGACAGAAGAATTAGGGGGGACATGATCACCACATTCAAGATTCTGAAGGGAATTGATAGGGTAGATTAAGACAGTCTATTTAACACAAGGGGAACACGCACAAGGGGACACAGGTGGAAACTGAGTGCCCAAATGAGCCACAGAGATATTAGAAAGAACTTTTTTAGTGTCAGAGTGGTTGACAAATGGAATGCATTAGGGGGTGATTTGGTGGAGGCTGACTCCATACACAGTTTCAAATGTAGATATGACAGAGCCCGATAGGCTCAGGAATCTGTACACCTGTTGATTGACGGTTGAGAGGCGGGACCAAAGAGCCAGAGCTCAACCCCCGCAAACACAACTAGGTGAGTACACACCTGGATGTCTGACTCTCCGTGCAAGCGAGGCGACGCGCCCAGAGAACCTTCCGTCTACCAACAACACTGGGCAATTTGCTGATAAATTTGCCAATAACGATAAGATCAGCCTGTCAGTGACGTCACCCAATTGTTGCATTTATCACAAACAGTCGAATGGTTGCGTTCGATGGTCGAGTTTTGCTGGCTTCTGCTAACAGTTCGGGTATCGTTCAGATTTTGTAATGTCGCTCAATGAGGATTGTGTGGAAATGTGGGTGCTTGAGTGGGTGAGTTTGGCGTGTGCGTATGTGGCTGTGCGTGCGTAGGTAGGTGTGCGTGCGTATGTGGCTGTTGCGTGCATAGGTATTGGTGAGAACATGCACGTGTATCTATTTGCAAGGGTAAATGATAAAGTTCCCCTTTCTTGTGTCCAACCACTTGGGATGACGGTCTCATTTCATTCAATTCTGCGTTCAATCCCCAACCGTCCAAGTGGTTGGGTATCAATCCTTAACCAGCCCCGTCCACTGTCCTGTCCCAAATCCTAATCCTGATCTGCCCTTCCAAGTGCTATATAGTCATAATGGCTTGGCGCTTTCTGTTGATAATTCCCTCCCTCCCTCCCCGTTCTTGTTAAAATAGAATTATCTGTCAAAATAACATAGAAGTCGATGAATTCTATCACAGGCGAGTTACCAGACTGATCTGTGTTACCTCTGATGAGCTCTTAAGAGTGAGATCTGATGGGGTGGTATTGGGAGGGAGGAGGAGGTAGCGTGGACACGGAGGGGGGGAGGACACGGAGGGGGAGAAAAGAAAGGTGGCATAACGAGCTACAAAAGTATGTTCAAGTGAAGAAATAATTGTTTTAGAAATTATTTGGCTGGTCGTGGTGATGAAGGGAGGGAATGTGGTGGTGGTGATGGAGGGTAGTGGTGGTGGTGGTGATGGAGGGAAGTGGTGGTGGTGGTGATGGAGGGTAGTGGTGGTGGTGGTGATGGAGGGTAGTGGTGGTGGTGGTGGTGATGAAGGGAGGGAATGTGGTGGTGGTGATGGAGGGTAGTGGTGGTGGTGGTGATGGAGGGTAGTGGTGGTGGTGGTGATGATGGAGGGTAGTGGTGGTGGTGGTGGTGGTGATGGAGGGTAGTGGTGGTGGTGGTGGTGATGGAGGGTAGTGGTGGTGATGATGGAGGGTTGTGGTGGTGGTGGTGGTGTTGGAGGGTAGTGGTGGTGGTGGTGGTGGTGATGGAGGGTAGTGGTGGTGGTGGTGGTGATGGAGGGTAGTGGTGGTGATGATGGAGGGTAGTGGTGGTGGTGGTGGTGATGGAGGGTAGTGGTGGTGGTGGTGGTGGTGTTGGTGGGTAGTGGTGGTGGTGGTGGTGGTGATGGAGGGTAGTGGTGGTGGTGGTGGTGATGGAGGGTAGTGGTGGTGGTGGTGGTGGTGATGGAGGGTAGTGGTGGTGATGGAGGGTAGTGGTGGTGGTGATGATGGAGGGTAGTGGTAGTGGTGGTGGTGGTGATGGAGGGGTGATGGTGGTGGTGGTGATGGAGGGTAGTGGTGGTGGTGATGGAGGTGATGGAGGGTAGTGGTGGTGGTGGTGATGGAGGGTAGTGGTGGTGGTGATGATGGAGGGTAGTGGTAGTGGTGGTGGTGGTGATGGAGGGTAGTGGTGGTGGTGGTGATGGAGGGTAGTGGTGGTGGTGGTGATGGAGGGTAGTGGTGGTGGTGGTGATGGAGGGTAGTGGTGGTGGTGGTGATGGAGGGTAGTGGTGGTGGTGGTGATGGAGGGTAGTGGTGGTGGTGGTGATGGAGGGTAGTGGTGGTGGTGATGATGGAGGGTAGTGGTGGTGGTGGTGATGGAGGGTAGTGGTGGTGGTGGTGGTGGTGGTGGTGGTGGTGGTGGTGATGGAGGGTAGTGGTGGTGGTGATGGAGGGTAGTGGTGGTGGTGATGGAGGGTAGTGGTGGTGATGGAGGGTAGTAGTGGTGGTGGTGATGGAGGGTAGTGGTGGTGGTGGTGATGGAGGATAGTGGTGGTGGTAGTGGTGATAGAAGGAGAGAGGGTAGTGGTCGTGGCGATGAAGAAGAAAGAGAAAGTAATTATAATACCACATGCCAATGATTATACTTATACTCATTGTTTCATCACGGTCATATGTAATTGAACCTTTCTCACCCTCCTACTGTATCTTACAGCAGGAAGTTCATGTTTTCATCATGTTCTTTCTGCACTCTTCCCATGTGAGTCAAAAGATTTGTGCAATTTATATTTTGTTTCCCCCTGGGATTAATTTAATTAGAAACATATATCAAATTTGCCACGTAAATTTTGTATACATTTTTATATCAAACTTTTATTTAACCTTAGTGAATTTGAGCACGAGGTTTTTCGTACATTAAATTTTCAAGGACATTTTCCCCGGCAATATTTCTTCCTCATCCGTCGATGAAATTTTTAGGGAGCCGTATTGACACATTCGCTTTTATCCGTTGTTAATCCATTAGTTTCTGTCTCGGCTCCGACACGTATTGGTGGTGTTCTCTTAGCACTGAAGCTGGCTACACGAACTCCGTCATATATTATGTAACGTTTGCTTCCTGCTTAATGCACTCGTCGAGAGAGATGGGATGGAGTGTGTGTATTGGTGGGCGTAAATGTGGGTGGGGTGGTTTTAGTGGGCGTACATGTGGGTGGGGGTGGTCTTGGTGGGCGTACATGTGGGTGGGGTGGTCTTAGTGGGCGTACATGTGGGTGGGGGTGGTCTTGTTGGGCGTACATGTGGGTGGGGTGGTCTTGGTGGACGTACATGTGGGTGGGGTGGTCTTGATGGGCGTACATGTGGGTGGGGTGGTCTTGGTGGGCGTACATGTGGGTGGGGTGGTCTTGGTGGGCGTACATGTGAGTGGGGGTGGTTTTGTTGGGCGTACATGTGGGTGGGGTGGTCTTGATGGGCGTACATGTGGGTGGGGTGGTCTTGGTGGGCGTACATGTGGGTGGGGTGGTCTTCAGGAGGGCGTACATGTGAGTGGGGGTGGTCTTGTTGGGCGTACATGTGGGTGGGGTGGTCTTGGTGGGCGTACATGTGGGTGGGGTGGTCTTGGTGGGCGCACATGTGGGTGGGGTGGTCTTGGTGGGCGTACATGTGGGTGGGATGGTCTTGGTGGGCGTACATGTGAGTGGGGGTGGTCTTGTTGGGCGTACATGTGGGTGGGGGTGGTCTTGGTGAGCGTACATGTGGGTGGGGTGGTCTTGATGGGCGTACATGTGGGTGGGGTGGTCTTGGTGGGCGTACATGTGGGTGGGGTGGTCTTGGTGGGCGTACATGTGAGTGGGGGTGGTCTTGTTGGGCGTACATGTGGGTGGGGGTGGTCTTGGTGGGCGTACATGTGGGTGGGGATGGTCTTGGTGGGCGTACATGTGAGTGGGGGTGGTCTTGGTGGGCGTACATGTGGGTGGGGATGGTCTTGGTGGGCGTACATGTGGGTGGGGTGGTCTTGGTGGGCGTACATGTGGGTGGGGTGGTCTTGGTGGGCGTACATGTGAGTGGGGGTGGTCTTGTTGGGCGTACATGTGGGTGGGGTAGTCTTGGTGGGCGTACATGTGGGTGGGGTGGTCTTGGTGGGCGTACATGTGGGTGGGGTGGTCTTGGTGGGCGTACATGTGGGTGGGGAGGTGTTGATGTGCAGTACATGTTTCAATGTTTTGCTTATGGATAATTGGAAATACTTAAACTAAACTAATTGTCATCGCTTGTAGATATATTGACGGAGATGAATTTAAGGAAACTGAAGGTTATGAATTCATAGTTTTCTTGACGATGCTGGACATCACAAGGGAGTCGTTATTAGTAAGATCTTATAAGGAAGATTTATATACTCCAGGACGGCGCAGTGTTACGGGTGATATGATGGAAATGTGACAAAAAAGGTAGAAGGTAACATGAGAGACTTGGAATCGCTGGATTGTTTCAAGCGATTCCAAGACAGCTCTTAATACCCCCCGATAGTGGGTATTAGGAGCTGTCTGGTATGGCACGGAAATCTATGCAAATTCAAATGTTCGTAAGTGCTTACATTGATGACCCAATGTTTAAGGACTCGCTTTGATGACTGGTTGCTTAAGGATATAAGTCAGTAGTATTGATGCAACATTACAGCAGGTATTGATGCAACATTACAGCAGGTACTGATGCAACATTACAGCAGGTATTGATGCAACATTACAGCAGGTATTGATGCAACATTACAGCAGGTACTGATGCAACATTACAGCAGGTATTGATGCAACATTACAGCAGGTACTGATGCAACATTACAACAGGTATTGATGCAACATTACAGCAGGTATTGATGCAACATTACAGCAGGTACTGATGCAACATTACAGCAGGTATTGATGCAACATTACAGCAGGTACTGATGCAACATTACAGCAGGTATTGATGCAACATTACAGCAGGTACTGATGCAACATTACAACAGGTATTGATGCAACATTACAGCAGGTATTGATGCAACATTACAGCAGGTATTGATGCAACATTACAGCAGGTATTGATGCAACATTACAGCAGGTATTGATGCAACATTACAGCAGGTATTGATGCAACATTACAGCAGGTATTGATGCAACATTAAAGCAGGTATTGATGCAACATTACAGCAGGTATTGATGCAACATTACAGCAGGTATTGATGCAACATTACAGCAGGTACTGATGCAACATTACAGCAGGTATTGATGCAACATTACAGCAGGTATTGATGCAACATTACAGCAGGTATTGATGCAATATTACAGCAGGTATATATGCAACATTAGAGCAGGTATTGATGCAACATTACAGCAGGTATTGATGCAACATTACAGCAGGTATTGATGCAACATTACAGCAGGTATTGATGCAACATTACAGCAGGTATTGATGCAACATTACAGCAGGTATTGATGCAACATTACAGCAGGTATTGATGCAACATTACAGCAGGTATTGATGCAACATTACAGCAGGTATTGATGCAACATTACAGCAGGTATTGATGCAACATTACAGCAGGTATTGATGCAACATTAAAGCAGGTATTGATGCAACATTACAGCAGGTATTGATGCAACATTACAGCAGGTATTGATGCAACATTACAGCAGGTACTGATGCAACATTACAGCAGGTATTGATGCAACATTACAGCAGGTATTGATGCAACATTACAGCAGGTATTGATGCAATATTACAGCAGGTATATATGCAACATTACAGCAGGTATTGATGCAACATTACAGCAGGTATTGATGCAACATTACAGCAGGTATTGATGCAACATTACAGCAGGTATTGATGCAATATTACAGCAGGTATTGATGCAACATTACAGCAGGTATTGATGCAACATTACAGCAGGTATATATGCAACATTACAGCAGGTATTGATGCAACATTACAGCAGGTATTGATGCAACATTACATCAGGTATTGATGCAACATTACAGCAGGTATTGATGCAACATTACAGCAGGTATTGATGCAACATTACAGCAGGTATTGATGCAACATTACATCAGGTATTGATGCAACATTACAGCAGGTATTGATGTAACATTACAGCAGGTATTGATGTAACATTACAGCAGGTATTGATGCAACATTACAGCAGGTATTGATGCAACATTACAGCAGGTATTGATGCAACATTACAGCAGGTATTGATGCAACATTACAGCAGGTATTGATGCAACATTACAGCAGGTATTGATGCAACATTACAGCAGGTTCACAGACCCAAGCAAGAAAGGTACTATTTTTAGCATTGCCATTTTAACTCAATCATTTTTTAACGTATTAAATATGGTATGTGTGCGTCTCATTAACCCTGCAAGGCACACAGTTCCACCCCATCTATCGCTAAACTGTTCTTGAAATCATATGTTTTCAAAAGCTCAAATGATATTCAGTTTATTATATCCCACATGAAAATGGTCTTTATTTGTATATATGAGCTTCAATCGTATTTCCTGCGGCTCTGAGACACTCAAAGCAGTCTAATCCCAGAGCTCTCTGAATATTTAATGATGTTGTACAGAAGACTTAACAATGCTTCTCTGTTTGTTTTACCGAAACTAGTCATGGTTTCGAATGGCTACTTAATCGTTCGAATTAGTAACGTTTTATGATATGACACACACAACCCTACTTGTCTTATTGAGTCTAGTTATTAATTTTACATCATATAGAGGTTGTAATGATTATTAACATCTTTATTAGAGTTAATGGCGTCGGCTTCGATGTCTTCCTCCCTACCCTGCTCTCTCCTCCTCTTCCACCCCTCCTGTCTATCTCCTGATCCTTCTTCCCCTCTCTTCTTATCCCACTCTCCACCTTTCTCCATATCTATCCTTCTCTCTCCCACAACATCACCTCTTTCTTCCCCTCTCTCTTTTCCTCTGCTCCCTGTCACCCCATCTCCTCCTCTCTCCCCCTCTCTCAGAACACATAATCCCGGTAAACACTCTCCATAACCATCACGTTCTTTTTACAGTTGTTACTTTGATGCAGTGTTGTAACAACAATTAATAAAGGTTGTAGCTACATTGTATAAGTTGGGATAATATGAACAGCTGAGAAACTCTATGTAAAGCAAGAACCCAATTTCACAACGTATAGGAGTGGCTGGGATTCGGAATAGGAGCTCATCCTTATTAAAGCAGGGCAATGGAGCCGACCCAGATCGCCTTTGACATCCCCATACCATCCATGTGTAAACATTAAGAGTTGCGTGAGTCTAGTTTCAAGTGTCTATTCTAACACCTTGGACAAACAAACCGATCGACCGACAGATATTCTCTACTAAAGATCTGTATGTATTTCATTTTTGTAGCTGGTGAGAATAATGATTCCTTCTGTTATCCATTTATGATAGTTTCTCATCTGTGTCTAATTTCTGGAGACTCGCGTCTAATTCATCCCCTTCAACAATATAAATGATTTCTGTCTGCTAGGATTAAGTCTTGAACTCTCGTCCCAATGGAAGAAGTGGCGAGGGTGGGGGGGGGGTAGGGGAATTCAGTGATAAAGTGCTTAAAAGGTCACATGCAATTAATTTAGTTTATTAGAAAGTGGCACATGTTACAGGAATTCATGTTTTATAAGGTAATAAATGGGAGACCCGGCGATTCCCGGGTTGATTCGGTAGCCAGGTCTTCCCCATACACCCTCCGCGTCTCTCTTCACACTCCCTCCCTCCCCGTCTTCCCAAATCGCTGAAGCAATTTTCAATACACACTTTCTTTATGACGGTAATTATCTTCACTTCATTTACATAACCCCACAACAATCTCTCCCCATCTCCCACCTACACACCCTCCCCATATCGCCCACAAACCCTCCACATATCCTCACTGGTACACCTCCCCGTTTCCTCCCTCCCCGCACACACACACACACACACACACACACACACACACACACACACACACAGTGTGGGGCCTCGTAGCCTGGTGGATAGGGTGCAGGACTCGTAATTCTGTGGCGCGGGTTCGATTCCCGCACGAGGCAGAAACAAATGGGCAAAGTTTCTTTCACCTTGAATGCCCCTGTTACCTAGCAGTAAATAGGTACCTGGGAGTTAGTCAGCTGTCACGGGCTGCTTCATGGTGTGTGTGTGTGTGTGTGGTGTGAAAAAAAAGTAGTTAGTAAACAGTTGATTGACAGTTGAGAGGCGGGCCGAAAGAGCAAAGCTCAACCCCCGCAAACACAACTAGGTGAATACAACTAGGTGAATACACACACACACACACACACACACACACACACGCCACTGGTTGAATCAACACAACCAAAAGGCTGCACCGAAAATGCAAATCTGTTGTATGAGCAAATACAAATCTGAATTCACTATTATTTACAATAATGCAAACGTTTAGAGACTTGGAGCTGAACACTTCACATACACAAACTTCGTGAAGAAGAAGCATTGGAGCTGTTTCCTCTTTCAGGAGGGCAATGGGCCGACCCCGATCCCAGATGACACTCCCGATAAAATCACAATAATGCAAAGTTTAATGAGGCTAGCAGCCCCGGGCGTCTGGCCTCCAACCTTAAACATAGGTTCTCTGTTATAAATGTAGACTACATAGGGTACCCAGCTGAGCCTGGATTTAACCCACCTGTCCCTCTCTCCCACCCTTTATCTTTCTTCTCCTTTTCCTTCTCCTCACACTAAACACCTTTCTCTCTCTCTCTTATCTCACAATTTATCCCTCTATCTCTCCCTTCTCCCCATTCTCAGTCCCTGTCCCTCTTCTCCATCTTTCTTGCACTCTTCACCCTGCTTTTCCTTTCTTCTCCCATCAAACATACAAATATTCTCTCTCCCTCTGTCACTCCCTCTTCTCTTTTCTCCCATTCTCCCTACCTCTCTCTCTGCCTCCCCTTCTCTCGTTCTTTATCCCTTTATTTTTTTCCCATTACACTTACATTGGGCAAAATATGCTCGAAAAACGTTTTATCAACATTATTTATGTGGAATCTACATTGAATCAACCTTATCAACATTGAATTACTTTTCTTAGCTATTCAAATTTGTACTGGTTATAACGATTTCTTCCTTAATGCAACATTTTAAATTAGCTACAAAAGCTGCTTTTTCCTTTAACTTTTGTGT